TCAGTGTTTGGTTCACTTCTGTAAAATGTAAATTGTCTAATGGAACAATGGCCTGATGTCAGAAGAAGACACTGAATTTGTCCATAAAGAATCATAAAAATGATAAAACATCCATAATACAGACACAGTTGTATAAAAAGTTCCCTAAACATGAAATAATCTGCTCAAAATGAATCCAAATCTCTTGTTTAACACAAACTTCCTGCAGTTACTGAATTCACTGTTTGGGTTCATTGTACAGTTTGATAATTAAATATTAAATATCCATAAAATGAGTGTTTAATAAATGATAGGAAATGGTTTCATTAAAGAAAAAGGCTGAGAACCGCTGATTTATGTGATCATAAGAGATCATTAAATTAACAATAATTTACTTCCCACCGTTTCTGGTTCACTGGAGTCAAACTGTCTGGCTCTGAAGTATTTAATCAATCACAAACACTCCACCTCCCATCTGAGTCAACACGAAACTATTCAAGTTTATTTATATAGCAACATTCAACATATAGAGCATTTCATTTCACTGGTATAGACAAAAACAGATAAGATATATATATATATAACGTAAGATGATACGAGTGTTACTTAAATACATACTTGCACACACTGGAACTAATCAGAGCTTGTATTATGAAATCATGTGAGTCCAGGTGTATCATCTCCCATTCTAACTTTATTTTACACAATATCTGTCAGTTAAACCATAATGCTTTTTATTTAAATGAGAATCCATTTCATATATGAAACCTTGGAGGATATAAAGAACATGTTCTACCTCCAGTTGGGGAATCTCTGGGTTCTGGGCGTATAAGGTAGGTTAATTTATATAATAATTTTAATAAAACTTTATAAAAACCAGAGTTATAAGTTGCTGTGGAGTTAAACCAACATGGAAACAACAAAAGAGGACAAATAACACATTACAGAATAAAGTGAGCTCCACTGACTCTGGGTTTAAGCTCCGATTGTGGGACTGTTACTGACTAACAACCGACCATAAATATCCAGATTGTGGTGTCGAAGGAGGCTGTGTCACGTTTCTGCTAAAATAATATATTAAAATACTCATTACCCAGAACCAGATGTGAGCTCCTCCAACCACTGATGTTGGTATTTTATTTTGGTTGTTGTACAAGAGGAAGTGCTCGCTGTCTGAAACCTGTGAGACTGTAGATTAGATTCCTCTTCAATTACGAACATATGTCAGTATTCGCACTGTTTGTTGTCTCTCTCATACCAGGACACCGGAGAGATATCATCAATGATTGCTCAGAACTGATTATCATTCAGATCTTGTTTTTGTAATCCGTTCCATGACAAACAGCACGCTGCCAATATGTGAAACCTTAAACAAAAACACATTATTTTTATTATTACCATTTGGTAATACAGGTACATAAGTATTTATTGTTAAGGTAACTTGGCTAAATAATAAGTTAATTGTACCAAATCCTTTAAAGCCAGTAAGTATATTAGACTCATATGCAGAAACTCTCTAAACAGCTGACGCACGATAAAAACAATTTATAATTAATTGATTGTCCAGATGGTCAAATTATAAAAACTCTTTTTTTAACTTTTCACATATTTTTTAAGCTTTAAACTAAATTCAAATCTTCTGATATTAAAGATATTGACCACATTGTGACATTTAACCAACTGTTCAGTGACATTCAGTCATTTGATTCTTTGTCCAAATTAAATGATATATATTTTACATCCTTAATTTATTAATAATAATAAGTATTTAGACTCTGCCAACTTCTATCTAATCATTTAGTTAGAAACTATATTAAACAGTTTGACCTCATTCATACTTAATAAACTCTTTCCCACGTTACAACAATCCTTCTTTTGTTACTTCATACAAACTTTTACAGAATATTAACATTGTTTAACTTTTAGAGGCAGATATTCCATTAGCATTTTATTTTATTATCGCGTAACTAGTCCCGCAGCTTTGCCAGCACATACACAAAAAATACATCAAAACGTGCGGCTTGATCGGGAGAGGTGTGCTATGACTTTTGGTTGTGATTTACCAACCTGTTTTTGCGAAAATCGAAAGAAGCTGTAAAATCTAACAATAAAAAAAAAAAAGGTCGGTAAAAACACACCTGTAAGGATTAAAAAATGACGTCTGACAGGAAGTTGGACGGTAGTCGCTCTGCATGACTTGTGTGATTTGCAGGAATGTCGACAATTTCCTCATTTTAATGTCTTATCCTCATAAAGTCTGGGTGGGTCACTGTGAGTTCTG